GTGTTTGCTGCCTTTTCCTCAAAAGCAGGAAGCCCTGAGCTGGCAGAGCTGCCCGGCCGAGTCCATCCATGGCATCTCTCCAGCGAAGGCCCGACCCGGTCGATCCTGGATTACATGGGGTTGGTGCGCTCTGCCCTCAAGGTGCATTTGGCGTCCATTTCCGCCTTCCGTCCCCAAGGCAGGGCCACGTGGTTGTCTCCGTGTTTGCTGCCTTTTCCTCAAAAGCAGGAAGCCCTGAGCTGGCAGAGCTGCCCGGCCGAGTCCATCCATGGCATCTCTCCAGCGAAGGCCCGACCCGGTCGATCCTGGATTACATGGGGTTGGTGCGCTCTGCCCTCAAGGTGCATTTGGCGTCCATTTCCGCCTTCCGTCCCCAAGGCAGGGCCACGTGGTTGTCTCCTGGGACAGGGTGGGCAGTTTCCTCAAGGGTCTGGACCAGCTTTTTCTCCTGGTCAGACCCTGGTTCCGCCATGGGATTGGAACCTGGTCCTGTCTCAGCTCTCTGGCCCCTCATCTGAACTAGGGATGTAAATATTGATCAGAACTATTACAGGTCTATCCTTGAACCAGTTAACTGGCTGGGGCTGCAGCAGGTAACCGGTTAGCCAGGTAACCTTTCACCTCCTGGTTTGAACAGCTAGCCACGTGCTCCTGGTTCATCTGTTCTGGAGGTGCCTGTCCTCGTGGCGGTAACGAGTTTCCGAACTTGGAGCCTTGATGTCGGAGCCGCGGTGCACGTATTCCATAAGGACCAGGTTCCACTCCGTCCCCAGCCGGCCTCTCCCGAAAGCAGGGTCAGCCTGCAGCCGGGCCCGTCTGTCCCACACCCGACAGGCCGTCACTCGGGCCCTGGCTTTTTACCTGGCCAGGACCGGGCCGTTCCGGGTGTCCCTGTGCGCACTGTGACCCCGCTACCCATTGTGCGGGCGCACTTGCAGGGCACAGGCTTCAGCAGCGGCATTTCCAGCCCAGGACATCAGGCGATGGCTTGGTCAGCAGGGCATGCCTGCGCCGTACTGTGCGCCCTCGCCTCCCTGACAAGGGCCAATGCCGGATTCGGCTGGGCGATCCTGCAGCCTTCCCCTGTGGTACTGCTGTGGAAAACTTCCAGCACCAGTGCACATGGCAGGCACACACGCCTCCCGGAGAATGAGCAACACATCTCGCAGGACAGCCGTTACGGCACCTGGGCTCTAGGGTGCCAGGAGCGGAGCAGGGACTCTGGAAGAGGTGGGTCTCTGAGGCTATGTCTAGACTGCAGAGTTTTTGTGCAAAAACTCGCAGAGCGTCCACACCTGAAGTGCGTTTTTGCGCAAGAAAATTGACAGAACGGAGGGGGTTTTGCACAAGAGTTACTCCTCTTTCTAGGAGGAATAACTCCTTTTGTGCAAGAGCTCTTGTGCAGAAAGGTGTGTGGGGAGGGGGAACTGCCTCTTTTTGCGCCAAAAACCCCCATCGAAAAAAGCCCAGGTGCCCTGGTGGTCGTTCTGTGAATGGCAATCAGCGCTTTCTTTCCAGAGCATCCGTGCAGTCTGGGTGCTCTCTTGTGCAAAAGCCCATTGCTTTTTCATTGCACGTTTACAGCGTGGGTGCACTCTTGTGCAAGAAGTTTTTGCAGAGATATTCCGCAAAAAGCTTCTTGCGCAGGAAGCCTGCAGTGTAGACAGAGCCTGAGCGCCAGATCTGTGGGGGACAGGACCGGCCTGGCGGACTCGGCACAGAGTGGCTTGTGCTGGTAGCGCGGAAGGAATAATTGAGTCGTAGATCAGACTAGATAATAGATGGAAAGGCGGGCGGATAATTGGAGAAGACGAATGGTCAGGCCCCAACATCACAGCACCATTAATTTTATTTAAGGACAGCAAATTAGAGGGAGCACTTCGCTTCCTATCGCCTAATTATTTTAGGTAATGGAAATGCTTAATGTACTGTGAATACAGTGACTGCAGAATAAATAAACAAAGGACCCCGCCCCAGGGGCCCGGCAGAGCTGTGCTGACCATGCCTTCGGTGCGACCCACAGCTCACGCGGCCCCTTGAGCCTTCCTGGGAGCGTGGAGGGGAGCAGGGCGGTGCCGGCCCTGTGGGGGGAGCATGGGCCGGGGCTGAGTGGGCTACGTAGGGGTCTCGGCAGGGAGGGCTCGGCTCTCTGTGTGGAACAGGGCAAGTTCCCAGAGCAGCCCGGTGTGTCTCACCCCAGCCCACACGGGGACGCTGGCCCCTCAGTGCCTGGGATCATGGTGACAGGGGCACCCCGTCCTTCACGCTGCTAGTCCACCTCTGGCAGGGCCCCAGCTCCCCGTGGGGAGCGCCTGACGCCCGTGCTCAGATCTGTGGCCGCCCCCCGCTGGCTCCGCGCTGCCGGCTCCGGGTGCGTTGCGCTAGGATCGGGGGGGGGGCTGGTGGGTGCTGCAGCATGGGGAGGGGAGAGCAGCTGTGCCCAGAGGGGCTCCCCTTAGCCCAGCACCCTGCTCGGGCTGCCGCTAGCACCATCTGCTCTCAAGGGAGGAACAAGTGGGCACAAGGGGGGGAGGGACATGCGGGATTGACGGCTTGGCTGGGGAAGCCGCCTCAGCCATGGGACATCCCAGGCTCAGCTCCAGGGCTCAGAGTTGTCCAGGAAATACTCGCTCTGCCTAAAGCAGTGTTCTTCTCTCTCTGGAGCGGGGGGGCACCCTCGCAAAAACTGGCCCCGCCCCTTCCCCGAAGCCCCGCCCTGCTCACTCCCTTCCCTCCACCATCACTCGGTGTCACCCAGCTGGGACAGGTTTGGAGAGGGGGCTGCAGGCTGTTGGTGGGGACCAGGAGTTGGCAGAGTGGGAATGTGCTCTGGGCTGAGCCTGGGTGCAGGGGGGACAGCAGGCTGGGGCAAGGGGTTGGGGTGCGGGAGGAAGTTTGGGTGCAGGGAGGACAGCAGGCTGGGGCAGAGGGTTGGGTGCAGGGGACAGCAGGCTGGGGCAGGGGACACGGGTGCAGGGGACAGCAGGCTGGGGCAGGGGGGTGGGTGCAGGG